TTTTTTTTTTTTTTTTTCTGAGACAGGGTCTCACTATGTAGTTGAGACTGACCTGGAACTCACTATGTAGCCCAGGTTGGTCTCGAACTCATGATCCTCCTGCCTCAGCCTCCTGGAGTGCTGGAATTACAGGCACGCGCCACCACGCCCAGCTTTGATAGTGGGACTGTCTTATAAAACAAAACAAAAAAACTACATTGCATTTTTTATATTAAAGCAAACACAATTACACTGGAGAATAGAATATAAGGTTCTCTAAGTTCACAGTAACAAACTTGAAGAAAGGGTCTTCCCATAATCTGGCCCACACAAGCAGTTTTTCTTATAGCATGTAGTGCTATAAGACACCTCATTGCAAGGACAGGTCTCACACTAGTAATTCTCTTACAGTCTACCCACTCACTATATGCCTGCTTCTAGAGTCTCTGACCAGGGTCCCTTTATTTAGCTGTTGGTGATACAGATGTATTTGCCCTGGACTGCTGAACCCTAATCACCTCACAGCCTCTCAGATGCAACTCTCGCTGAGAGCTCTTATGGCTCTGGTCCCTGCAGAGGAAGGCGGCCTGTCTAGCTCCTCTAGTCTCCAACTCCAGGGGCTGTGCAATGAGCTCCCCAAGAGGAGGAAAGGCCTTCTCAGGAGGCAGAGATGCTCACTGCCAATGGTAGAGGCTGCGTACACTTGCTTTGGCTGCTTTAGGAGGGTGCTGTCCCGAAACTCCAAGGAATAAAGAACTTCAGCCCATAAGTCTTGGTTGCTGTGTGCAGGGAAAATCAAAGAGAAAGGATAAGCAGCACCAAGCCTTTAAGAGTTCAGAAGCCTATCAAACCTCACAGAGACCTCAGCTACTGCATATAGACTCCAGAGCCTTAACTGTTCGGTTTCTGAGCAGAAGACCATGATTTGCACAGTGCAGCAATATCATAGCCTTTCATCTCTCCAATCAAGCTTTTACTCCTTTTCTGGACAATCCTGGGTTCCATTCAAAGGACAACATTGCTCTTATCACAACTGCAACAACCAACAACGCGTGTCTCTGCCCTCGAGGTCCTTTGCCCATCGTGTCCTCCCCAACAGCACCTCCCAGTCACCCCCACTTTAAGCAGCCATTCCTCTTTCCTGGAGGCTAAAGCGGCTCTGTTTCCTGCTGAGAGCCAGCCTCCCTGCTGGGAGGCACTGTACTTTCTTCGGTCTTTTGGGGTCCCCAGTCAACACCTACCTTTCTACAGCTGCTGAAGTCACACTGGTCAAGGAAGGAGCACCTGGTGTGGCTTTGGAACGCTCTGTGAATCGGGAGTCAAATGCTTTCATGGGCTCAATCTTGGATGGGGTCGTTAACACAGAAGGTGACAATGCAGCAGGAGTAGAGGTAGTATTCATACTGAGGGATGAAGAAGAGAAGAAGCACATTGAGCATAATCCCTAAACAATGTGGAGGACTAGGATTTGTATTACTTGGAGCCTTTAAAAGGAGTACAAATAAACTGGGCATGGTGGTGCACGCCTGTAATCCCAGCACGTGGGAGGCTGAGGCAGGAGGATCCCTGTGAGTTCGAGACCAGCCTGGACTACATAGGGAGTTCTAGGTCAGTCTCAACTACATAGTGAGACCCTGTCTCAAAAAAACATAAGTAAATAAATAAATAAATACCTGCAAATAACCAGTTGAGGCTAAACATTCTTGTGCTGTGGAAGGTAGCTCCTTGAAAAAGTTCCAAATTCCCTATAACTGCCCTCAAATAAGAATCTGAAGAATCTGTAACGTCTTCCCCGAAAGGGAACACTACTAAGAAACAACACAAACGTACAATGCTTGAGATTTTGCCAGGTTCCTCTTTTATTCAAAAAAAAAAAAAAAAAAAAAAAAAAGGAGTACAAATAATCAAATTTCTATCAACAAAACAATTTTATTAAATAATCTTTAAAATTTTCAGGTTAAAATTTTGGAAGACTGACTACCTGAGAGGTTTGCGTTGGCATCTGCCCCTCTGTGTTATTCTGAGAACTTTCGGGGGTAACTAAATACACAGTACTGTCTCAATAACCTACATTATGGCATATCAATCCAAAAATCAGTCCAACTATCAGCTTTTGCCACTTTCCTAATGGAGCTGATAAGAAAAGCTCCTATTCAGGATCCTGAAGCCATGGTTGGTTCCTGGCCTTGATCTTCAGTTTGTACATTCCTCTAAGTGCTTATCCCACTGTTCTTACCTTCTACTCCAGGGAAGAGAGGCCCACACATGAGCTTGCCCAGCTTCCCTCTTGCCAAGCCCATCCCAGACTCTTGGGCCTTAAAACCGAGCATTTTGCTGATCTGGCTAACATCTCTAACCTCATTTGTACATGGGCAGCCATCTCGTACGCATTTTTTTCCTCCTGCATGACTTGTAGGGCCAACCCCTCAAGCTTTCCCAGCTCTGGTGATGTTTGTCCTTTGTAGATATCCTTCTTCCCTGGATGCTTTGCTTCCTAACTGGTCTTGTTGCACTGTTCCTTCTCTTCTGATCTACCCTCACAGTTCCCTAAAAGCAGTGACACAATGTTTGGTGAGTTTCCACAGCATGGATGCCTGAACCCAGAAGCAAAAGTTACAATAATACCATCCCAACCGATAGAGATACTCTTAGTATTAGCTGTGTGAGAGGCTGGCTAAATTCAGGCACTGCTGTCTATCAGAACCATCTTCCTAAATGTAAGTCTCAAAGTCTTCTGTGTGTCGGACCACATGGTTTAGTGCAGGAACACAAGCTTTCTCCTCATCCCACCCCACCTCAGGACCTTGGAGCTTTGCTCTTGCTGCTGCCTCTGTTCCCCATCTATTTCTCCTCGGTTGGCTTATACGGGCCCTCGGCAGAGCACCTTCTGAGAAGCCTCCCTAGGACTTGTCTACCAGTCCCTTGGACAGAGAGCCACTCTGCCTAGGATCCTAGGAGCTACCCTGAATCCGGTGGCTGCCTACTCTTATCAGCCTACACTTCCTGAGGACAAGCACCCACCAAGTGATCCCCAGCCAATGCCTGGTCCCTGCAATATGTGTCTGCCCGGCCCTTTCTGGTTTCCTAATTCTTCAGCTAATGGTCAGTGAGGACACCGGCTGCGTATGATTCTGACAATGGAGTGTAAGGGAAGTCATACACGTGTACATGAGTGCCCTGCCTGGGACGAATGGAGGGTGAAGCTCATGGCACAGTGAAGTGGAAGCCAAAGCCCAGATATGGGCGTCACCTCCAGTGAGATCAGTCAGAAGGCGGGGCTGACCTATGACAGGCAACATTTCACTGACAGGTCCCCAAGTTTTATAGCCCAATCCTCGGTCAGGTGAGGCACCTACTACTCACAGCCCTGTGCATCAGAGATTCAACTGGACTAGCTCAGTCCTCCCTTCTGAAGAGGTCCTCATCTGAAATCAAGCATCTCTTTTCCTTTATTATTGAAAGGGCCATGGAATGAGATCAGAATGAAATTCCCATTCTTGGAACCATGTCCACACCTGAATTCTCCCCAAGGACAAGACCAAACCTTGGCACCCACTAACCTGTCCTTACTGACAGACTCGCCTGCAGGTCTGGCACTGGTGGCTGCCACAGGCTCTGTGCAAGACTTCGAGGCGCCGAAGGAGTTGGGGGTACTGGGGTCCAGGGGCAGTAGCTGCTGACTATGAGAAGATAGCATGGTGCCCGCGAGAGAGCCTGAGAGCGGGATGCTGTTAAAGAAGGCGGTGGAGAAGTCCCTGTTGTGGAGCAAGAACAAAAGCCAGCTAAAAATCAGGTGCCACATCAGGTACCTCATATCTTCTACATAACACTTTTCTTGGTTCAGAGATGATCTACTTTCATGATCGGTAATTTGGAAAGTTAGAAAAGTCCAAAAAACAAACCCCAAAAAAAGAAAAAAAGAAATCCATTTCATAAACAGTAAGTAACTGAATCTAAGATGCACTAACTCTGTACCACTAAGAAAGACCACCAAAAGCACCACTACTACCTGTCATCACGGAGGTGTTAAATTGTGCAATCGTATGTCTTCGTATAGAAAAAATGCAGCACACAAAGAAGCCCTTCCTTTTATTAAGGGTGATAGGCCTTTCCACTGGATGGATATATACCTGACCTAACCTGGTCTCGCTGCAACAGGAGACAAGTTATTGCAGTGCTAAGTAGAGGGCCCTGGGCCAGACTAGCCAGGGCTGACTCTTAGGCCATTTGCAGTTTTGTGACCTGGCACACGCCCATCACTTCTGCTGTACTTCAGGTTACTGTATGCAAAACAGAACGCGCTAGGACTCTTCTGTGGGGTTACTTTCAGGACTAAAAGTTAGTTACACATGTTTAGCATGTAGTACCTGCTCACAAAGGCCTGGAATTATAATGGTCATTACACGTGTCACACGCGGATAAACTCTTACAAATGGAGTTGAAGCAGCAAATGGAATGTTCTTGATTTTTGATAAACATTTTTAAAACTTCCTGCTTAGAGAGTGAAGTTACAAGCTATTTATAAGACTGCCCATTTCCTAATAATCTCACTGTTTTATCGAATTTTTGATGCTCATCAATCTGATGGGTGAAAAATGATCTTAACCATAGCTTTGGTTTGCAATTATTGTGATGTAATTTTCATACAGAAATATTTGATTTTTTGGTGAGTTCTTTATTCATATCCTTTGTCTATTATTTAATTTGATTATTCTTCATTATTAATTTGAAAGAAGTACTTACATATTTTTTAAAAAAACCATTCCTTTTATGGGTAGGAAGTATCTCCCCAGAATGCTGGGTTTAGATTGTTACAGTCATTCTTGACAAAAAGACATTACTTTTGCATCGTCTAAAGTTGGTGTCATTTATAGTTTTTTTTTACCTCTGAGGTTATATAAAAATTTTTTAACATACTCTTCCTTTCAACGAAATTTTAATTCCCCCTCCAAAACCTTGGAACTGTTTTATATGTTTCTAGGTTATGACACCGGGATCCAGCATGGTTTACAGAGTGACAGGTAGTCCTTTTCACTCATTAAATTAGCTAATGTTCACTGATATGAAATGGTAACTTTATTTATTTATTTATGTGGTTTGTTTTGGTACCGGGGATTGAACTTGGGTCTTTGCGCTTGCAAGGCAGGCCACCAAACTGCTGAGCTAAATCCCCGGCCCTGAAATGCTAACTTTAAAATGGGCTTTTCTGGGAGGAAATCCTACTATATTACATTGCTCTATTCATGTATCAGTTCAGTACCTCATTATTTAGATTATTACAGCTCACAAGTATTTAAATTTCTGGTGGGGTCAGTCTTCCCTGATTAATCTTTTTTTTGTCAGAAATACTTCAAAAGCAGAAAAAAAAATTCAGCTATTCCTATTTACTTTTCCACCCAACTTTAGAATTACCTTATCTGATTTGAAAACTCCCATGGTTATTTGCATTAGTTGCTGTTCAATTTATAGGTTAAGGGAGAAATGACCTCTTTCTTTTTCTCCTTTTCTTTTCTAGTAGTAGTGGGGACTGCACCCTGGGCCTTCACTCAGAGCTACATTCCCAAACATTTAACGTTTTCATTTTGAGACAGTCACTACCTTACTCATCCTGGGCTTTAACTTACAATCCTCCTACCTCAGCCTCCCAGAGTGCTGGGATTAGACATGTGCCCTTGAGAGAACTGACATCTTTATGATACTGGGTCATCCTAGCTAATCAGTGTTATGTATTTCTAGTTGTATTTCTTTGAGTTTTAAGTCTCTCATAGGGTTTAAAATTTTTTTTAAAATAAAGATTTACATTACTTAGACACAGTGGTTTGTACCTGCAGTCCCAGCTACTAAGGAGACTGAGGCAGGTAGATTGAGTAAGCATGTAAATTCAAGACCAGCCTGGGCAATGTAGCAAGACCCTATGTCAAAAGAAAAAAAACAAAACCACAGATTTACATTTCTTGTTACATTATAGATATTTCATTTACGAATGTGATTTCTTCTTTTATCTGTTTAAAAGTAGTTGGTGATACTTCATCTCAGGTTGATTGTTATCAACTACCTTACTGTCTTCTTTTATTGTCTGTGGCAGTTTTTCCAGTTGATTCTCACACAGAGCATATCATCCTTAAATAATGATACATTTCACATTCTGTTTTCCAATTTATTCTTGGCTAACTGCATAGGCTTGGACCTGTAGGACAATATTAAATTATAGTCACAAGAGTAAAAAGTTATTTAGTTTCTGAACTAGATTTCAAAGAAAACAATTTATTGAGTTAAGGAATCAACTATCCTACTTCCATTTAATTGAGTTTTAAATCAGGACAGCATTGAATTTTATCAAAATGTCCCCTAAGTGTCTACACAGGTGACCATACTATTTGTTTCTTTTATTCAATTGACATGTAGACTCAATAGTACCCCCAAATTTGAATTTGTCTCCCTAAAATCTTATGTAGTTATGGATATTAGTATCTAACATGCTATAAGTTTCAGCTTGTTACTACTTTAGGATTTTTCATTGACATTCAGAAATGAAACAGATCTGCAATTTATGATGTGCTATCTTTGTTTTCTCTTGCTTTTGAGATAGAAGCTCACTAAGTTGCCCAGGCTGTCCAAACTTCCGGGCCCAAGTGATTCCTGCTGCTTCAGTTTCCTGAATAGCTGAGACTTCAAGCATGCACCATGGCACCTGGCCATCTTTTTACATTTTCACATAAGTATTATGTTCTTTCAAAAAATAACATTTTCAAATTTGCCTTGTTTATGCACAAGAATATGTGTATCTGCATAGTTATCTGTTCTTTTTTGTTGGTTTGTTTTTTGAGACAGGGTCTCACTATGTAGTCCGGGCTGGCCTTGAACTCACTATGTAGCTCAGACTGGCTTCGAATTTGCAGCAATCCTCCTGGCCTCAGCCTCCTGAGTGCTGGGATTACAGATGTGCACCACCAAACCTGGCAAGTTCTCTATTATTTAAATTTGTTAGGATCTCTCTGTGAAACCTTCTTAGCCTGGGGGCTTTGGTGGTGTTAACATGTGATAGTGTCCTGTTTTCTTTTCTTTCTTTTGATTATTTTGAGACAGGGTCTCACTACGTAGCTCAGGTTATCCTTGAACTCACTATGTAGTTGTCCTTGAATCTGTGGTGATCCTCCCGCCTCAGCCTCCCAAGTGCTGGGATTACAGGCATGTGTTACTCACTATGCCCACCTGTTCTCTATGTTTTCAAGTAAATTCTTTGATTTTAGTAATTTTATTTTCTTCAAAAACTACCCACTCTCCAGTTTATCTGCAGAGTTTAGCAAAGAAGTCTTTCATCTTTCTTTTTTTTTGGTACCGGGGATCGAACTCGGGTCGTTGTGCATGTGGGGCAGGCAGTGGCACTACTGAGCTAAACCCCTGGCCTGATTTATTCTTTATCTGTAATTATTTCCCACTTAGAATTACTTTGAATATTGTGTTGGTTTTTTCTTAACTAATCTAATAATTACTTATTATGGTTGTTATTTGTTTGAACATGGGAATCAGGAGGGTGAAAAGCCTTTGAAACAAAGGAATTAAGCTTTTATGCCAGAAATATAAACCCAATGGCAGAAAGGTCCCTACCTCCTCTGCCTCCTTACTACATAAGACCTAGAAGGATCTACAGAACAAGTGTCATCATGACCACAACTACATCCCTCACTGCCAGAGGACTAGAAGTACTCAAAGCACATTCTCACACTTGGTCTCACTTGATCCTAATAAAAGCTGGGTAGGTGGCTTACCCACACTGTAGGTTTACAATAAGAAAAAGGGTTGGGCTGGGGATTTAGTCTGTGAGTACAAGTGCAAGGACCGGAGTTTGATCCCCAGTACAGGGATGGATATATATCTATATATATATATATATATGGAGTTATTTTGTTTTGTTTTGTTTTTTTGAGACAGGGTCTCACTATGTAGTTTAGACTGACCTGGAACTCACTATGTAGCCCAGGCTGGTGTCGAACTCACACAGATCCTCCTGCCTCAGCCTCCCAAGTGCTGGGATTACAGGTGTGCGCCACCACGCCCAGCTAAAAAGGGTTATTAATCAAAAGGAAAATGATTGAGCTGGGACGAATAAGCAGATCTAGTTCTAGCTAGATCTCTGCCTGTTGGGCCTCAGTGCCCACACTCCTGACATGAGAAGTCAGGTCAGTACATCCACTGATTGAAGGTCTCTTTAGCTTTCAAGGAAGATCTGGAACAGCTCATGGATGGACAGTTGCACAGTGCACAGGACTACTGTGCTCTGGTCTCTGTGAAAGACTTCCTGATGTCCTAAGAGGATTACTATACCTTGACAATGTTCTATTTTCTTCACCAGGGCTTTACCATCTTTTGAATGAACAAATGTCATTTCTGGAGAACATCTAATACAAAAGCAAATCTGCCTGTAGACACTGAGACCATGGCAAATGGTGAGGGAGCCCGTGTCCACCCTCGCTGCCCCATGGGGAAATATCAATGTGTCTCACAGCCCTACCTCTCTGCCTAGCGTTCTGCTTCTAGAAACTATTTTGAGGAAACAGTTACAGGTGCACTCCAAGGTTCATTTATAGTCACAAAAAGCTGGGCACAAATTACAACTGTCACAGCCGAGGAGCCAGTTCAGTCAATCATGGTGTTTCATGGGACAGGAACCTGAACGATAACCAAGTGAAGGCTTCAGAGGACTGTTTATTACAGCAGACAAAAGGCCAAGATACAGTAACAGGTGGGGAAAAGACTGGAATACAGATATCAAAATGTTAGCAAGGGTTATATCTGAGAGACGGGATTTTGGATGTTGATACTTTTCTTTGGGTTTTTATCTTCTCTCTCTCTCTCTCTCAAATATATATATTCATAATCAGAAAAATGTTATAAAATGAAATGACAGAAAAACAAATGTCTGACTCCTGCACTCATGTGTCCCAGGGAACCACCGACAGTGCAGTATGGAGACACACTGGCTCTGAGAAGGCATCCTGGCCTTCAGGCCATCTCAGCCATGAATCACATGTACACATTTGGAGCTCTTCCATATTCTGGTTAGTCTTACTGGCCCAAGATCTGTGAAGACCTTAACTACAAAAGGGCTAGTTGGTGCAAGAAGAGAGGAAGACTTCCCCAGACATGGTCACAGAAAGCTTGGTGAGTGATTGAGTACCCAGTGTCCAGCTGTGCTATGCAGAGAGGTGTGATTCTTCTCCGACCATCTGCTGTCCGAGTCTCAACTTGTTTCTTCAAAAGATTCTGGCAAAACAGAGTCACACAAATGAATGGAAAAGTTTCTGCCAACTATCAAAAAACCCCCAAAAAGTTACTTCTTATTTTTTTCTTTTTGTGACAGGAATATTCAGTATAACATCTATTCTCTAGTAAATAAAGTACGTAATACAGAACTGTTAACTGCAGTTATGATGCTGTGCAGCAGATCTCTAGGACTGGATGAGATGGTATGCTTTGGCAATACCTCCCATCTCCCTTCCCACAGCCCCTGACACTCGCCATTCTACTCCCTGCTCTGAGTTTGACAGAGATATCGTGGCTCAGGCCTGTTATCGCAGTACTCTATAAAGTCTGAGGCAGAAGGGTCATTATGAGTTCATAGCCAGGCTGGACCATACAGTGAGTTCAAGGCCAGCCTGAAAAAAACAGTAACCAAAAAAAAACCAAAAAAACAAAAAAACAAACCAAAACTAAAACCAAAACCTTACTATAATGAGTTGAAAAAAATAAGGCTTCTAGAGGAAGAGAGAACAAGGGAAGAGGGAGAGAGGGAAAGGAGAGAGAGAGAGAGAGAGAGAAGGGAGGGAGGGAGGGAGAGAGAGAGAAAGAGAGAGGGAGAGATAGGTAGGCTAAGAAGAGGCATTTTAACTTCCCTTTCTACAGCCCTTTTGGTACAATGAAATGAATCCAGATAATCAAAACGTATAAGCATTTTTATCCAGGCAGGTGCTCAGTTTTCTGTACATTAGAGAGGAAAGGACAGAAAGTGACTAGCTGAACCAGCTCCAAGCATCTTTCACTGTCAGTACCACAGACATGGCAAATTCCTGGGGCTGCAAGCACATGATAGACTGGCCAAGTCCGCCTGACTGCCATGGGGCTCAATGAAGAAATAAAGGTTCAGACCTTGACTTGTGAGCCATAATCTTTTCCCTAAGCTGGTGATTTTCAAACTGACTTTTAAATAAGAGCCCTTCCTTCCAAAAAGGCTCATATCTAAGGGTTTCCAGTCACAAATTCTGTTTAAATAACCCAGGGCAGGCTTGTCAACTGACAAAGTCCCAGAGATGGTTTATGTTCTCCAGGTAAGCTTCAGATTTCCTGTCCTGCTCCTGTCCCTAATTATAATTCCTTGCTCTCACCAGTAAACATGGGCTTCCAGGTGAAGGGGCACCCATAAAAACTTCCTATGGGTAGAGACTAAAACCCACTGTTCTGAAAGTCTAGAATTCCTAGGGAGGCGAAGCGCTGAAAGTCTGGCAGTTCCTACAGATGACCTTCTCTAGGCTCCCTGGGACAAGGAGGCCTTTGAAAAAGGCGCTTTTGACCCCATTAAGGCCTCATACAGTTGCAGGCATGGCATTAGATGGCCTCGAGCTGGCTAACTGTGGCTTGTGCCAGGATGTGGCATGTGACCTCTTCGCTACCAGTCATGACTGTGCTCCACTTCTGTGCACTGTCCAGGCCGCCTGTGCTATCTTTGCCCTGACCACGACCTCAGGACCCCTGAACCAAATCCTCACCTTCCTGATGTCTTCCAGACTTTCTCCATTAACAACACCTGTGACTGAGGAGGCTGAGGCCGTCTCTCTGGCTGTGGCGCCTTTTTGGTCCAGCTGCTGCTGTTGCTGCCTCCGTTGATACTTGAGCATCTCAGGGTTCTCGATGACAGCAGTGGAGAGCTGAGCCTCGGTCATGATGGCCAGGCTTTTGCCATAGGTCGACTGGTGAATGCGGCTCTGTGAGAAGATAGGAGAGGCTTGGCATGTGGGACTGAGTATTGCTGTGGCCCACCCATGGGTACGCTGAGGGTGTGCTTTCCTGGCCCTGAGCAGTAGGGTCCGGGAGGCCAACTCTGGCTGTCTCCCCTCCAGTTTGTCCCTGACTAGATAATCTCTGTCAAAGTCTTACAATCTCATTAATGTTTACAGCCTTCCATTTATCTATAACGGGGATGACAATGAGACACTGGTAAGAGAACCCCGGCTACCATTGTCTGGTGTAGAAAAAAAGTGGCACTAAACAGTGTTGCAACTGAAATGCAGACAACTAAATTGCTAATTTAAAGCTCTTAACTTATCCTAAGGAGCTTAAACACTATGGGAACCAGATCTTAGAAACAAGGGTTTGCTTTTGCTGCTCTTGTCCTCAGATATCAGCCACTAGGGTGGGAGGTCCCCATAGGACTAACAGTGTCTCTAAAACCAAGGGAACCTTGGCACAGCAACCTGGAAGAGACCTTTCTGTGCTCCCCTGCGATCCTTCTTGACATCTGCAGATCCTTCTGAGCAAGGTCCTCTCCCATCTCCAGGGCCCTACTAATTCCCTGCGTTAATAAGCTATATAAGAGATCTACAAGATCAGTCAGGGACAGTGTCCCCAGCACACCATAGTGACTGGTGCTCATTAAAGCACAATAGGAAAATAATAAACCTAAGGATATGCAGAAGACCATCACTGCATCCTGCTCTGGATGCGGACTATGGTTAATGGGGTATCTGTCTCACATCAGAGGACGCTGCATTAGGGGAAGCAATTTTCTAGGAAAGAGGATTTGGGATTTGTGCCTGCAGGCCTGAGTGTAGGCAAAGATCTTCTTCCTTTGCCATCTTGGTTTCTGCCCCCTAGTTCCCAAGTCTATCACCTGGAATCTCAAGATATGCAGACCTCGACATCTCAGCGATTGGCCTTGTGGGTACCTGCCAGTGAACTGGAAAATGTAAATTAAAAGTACTTATTATGCAGGCCTGCACAGTGACCCTCTAAGAGAATGCACAACTATGCCACAGTAAGTGGTGACAGTGACAAGGCAGGACAGAGACCCCAGGCCTGGTAATTTAAATTAAATGGGTGTACACCAAGAAATGACAGTATCACTTGTAGTGGAAATTGACAGAAGAGCATCCATCTTGGAAGAAACGTAAGGACATCTGTGTGACTGGCAGGCCGGTCATCTCAGGATAAGAAGTGCAAGCAATTCTTGTTTGTCCCTTGGTAAACTCCCAAGATGATGTAGACAAAGTAAAAAATGTTTTTAAGGGGGTTGGAAGGAAAAAGTAAAAAACAAAGTTGTTTTTGTGAACATAGCTGACTAAAATATTATATAACTTCAGATATAAGATAAAATGCTAAAAATATGCTTTTCGTCTGATGCTCTGAATAGCCTCAATAAATACTACAGTTGTGGTCATGAGGCGGCTGTTTGCCTGAGCGAGCTGTAGCCCTCTGATCCTGCTCCTCACATCTCGCCTCCCTTCATTTTGCGACACCGAGACACTCGCACTCGGCAACAATCACTGTTGTATTGCTGCGGAAAGTACCATTAGCAAGGACCCCAGAGACAAAACAAAAATGTCCCTGTGGGTGGCCTATTATCAGCTCAAGAAGAGTTGTAGAAACCAATTTCATTCCTAACTCTAGTACTTCTTTCTGACATTAATAGAGACTTATTAATCTATTTGTAAAGAAGGATTACAATCTATAAAAGGCAAACCACCTATAATACTTAAAGAAACAAGCTGGGTGTGGTAGCACATATCTATAATCCCAGCACTCTGGACCTGAGACAGAAGGATCAGATTGTGAGTTCAAGGCCAGCCTGGGCCATAGAGCTAGATTCCGTCTAAAAACAAAGAAACAAATAAAAAACAAACAATAACAACAAAGAAGAGGGCTCGGGATTTAGCTCAGTGGTTCCGCTGCCTGTCTCGCAAAAGCGAAGACCCAAGTTCAATCCCTGGTACCAAAAAAAAAAAAAAAAAAAATGGAAAAAAAAAAAAAAAAAAAAAAAAAAAAAAGAAAAGAAAGAATATTTCACTTTCAAATGCTCCCTTACTCATCCAGCATGGCTATCTATCATTTCTCTTTCCTTTTTCTTTCCGCCTTCAAAGAAATCATCTGCTTTAAAAAAGGAAAACTTTTAAAAAACAACGTACAGATACATGTTCATCCCGTAAGAGGGTCTAGTGAAAGGGATCTCTCAGAGCAATATGGTGCTTTCTGTGGCCACAGAGCACACAGTAGCACACGGACCAGCAGCCTACCTTTTCTTCCTCACTTAGGGGGTCTCCAAGCTCATCTTGGGAGAAGTCGAGGAATGCCACAGAACCATCCATAGAACATACCAGGATACCCAGCCCATTCAGAGTCCTGGAAGAAACAGCTATCAGCAGTCTGGAGGCAAATGCCTGAGGTGGATACCATACCATAGTGGCTGGCCTATGAGGATGGCTGGACAGTGCTCTAGGTAGAAACTCTTGTTTTCTTTCTGTGGCCTGACGAAGGGGCAACAGTAACATCCCAGACTGCCCTTGTGCCCTTAAAGTTTTAGATACATGGACAAAGTATCTCTTACCATAAATTTTTGTTAAGAATTTTCAATTTTACTTTTCTTATTTTTGAAATCATTAAGAAAATATGCTGACGATGTGTATCTATCCTGAACACGGTCTGTTAGAAAAGGCATTTTCCTTTGGCAAATCCTACCCAAGGCAACGGCATTTTTACAACAGGAGGCACGGAAGTGCTGGTTCCTGGATCAGATGCAAACCACATGCTGAAGCCTGCATTCTTCTGGGAGGCACTGGACACCTTGTCCTAACCTAAAGGAGGTCTTCTGATCCATTGTAGCCTATGTACCTTTTCCAGTTTAGATCTAAAATGGCCCTAAAGGACTGCTGTGTTTGGGAGGTAAATGGATCAGCGGGACACAACAGCTGTTTTGCCATTACGTGGGGCCTGGTCAGAAGAGGCAGGTCACTAGAAGGGCATATCTCCAGGATGAACACCTTTCCTCCATGGCAGGCTCTTGAACCATACCATTTGTGTTTGAGCCTGCCAACCATGGTCTGAAATTTCTGAAACATCAGCCAAAGTAAACCTCTCCTTCTTTAATTTGTGGGTATCAGGTATTGTCTCAGCGATAAGAAAGTGACTAAGACAGCACTATAATAAGAATTCACCTTACCAAGATATATCCATAATGGATTTGTCAAACAGCTCATGGATGACAACCAGAGGCCGTTTCAGACACGTGAGCTAGAAAGAAAGCAGAAAAAATTACTGGAATTACTGACAACCCTAGTTAACACTACCTGCCTCAAAGCCTTGGTCAGAGTTTCCGCTGACAAATTATGGTATATTCAACACAATCCAGACGTAACTTTTGAGATCCTACACAGTGAAGACCAAAGCCTGCCAGAAATATGTGCATTAGAATGTCTGCTGCCTCAAGGCTTGCTGTGATTTACCAGAGGAGATGGCTTTATACATACAGCAACAGAGAAGACAGAGTAGTAAGGGAATCTGAAGGACTGTGATTCAAGCAGGGAGACAGCTCTAGGTGGGAACACAGAGAAGACTTATGGAGCAAGGGACGAGGTAGCCTCAGAGAGAATCCAACTCATCTTCCCTGGGACCATGAGCTTTGGTTAATCAATAAGCGATGTGCCTTATTACACAAGTCACATGGGCTTACTTCACAGTATGTGCAGATAGTCTGCAGAGGTACAAAACTAGTATAAATTCCTTTTAATCCAGACTCAAAGTTAACTACCATTAAAACTTTGATGACAGCTTTTGTAAATATTCATTTAATCTTCAAAAGAAGGCACATGGTATAATGTGTAATGTTCAGCATGTGCAGATTCACTAGCTAGTCAGTCACTTTAACGTTTCTGAAAGAAACCCTTTCTCCATGTCCCCACAGCTAGAGCAAGTTCCTCTTCCACCTCAGTGTCTGGCCTTCCCGCTGATACGCTCTGAGCCACAGAATACTGGGCTAGGTGGGAACACTCTTCTTCGTAGGACCATGGGCTCCCACTGGCTGTTGCAGATTTGGGGAGGGCACACCAGTGAGCCTCTCACCCACAGCCCCAGTCTGGTACTCAGGGAAGGAAGAACTGTGGCCACCCTAGTTCTGGGGGAAGGGCTGGGAATTCCGCTCAGCTCAGCTACTGGGAATCTACATCAAGAATCATGTTCCTTAAACTAGGTGGGGTGGCACATGCATGTAATCCTAGCACTTGAGTCTGAGGCAGGAGGATCCCTTTGAATTCAAGGCTGGCCTGAACTGCAGAGTGACACCCGGTCTTGAAAAAAATCTTATCCCTATCCTAATTCCATTTCCCCCCAAAAGTAGCCTTGCCCCTCCTCCCATAAATGTGCCTAAAGACCCATCAGAATCTGGGGCAAGTATGACCACTTGACCTCAGCATTTTAAGAAATATGAGCAGGACCAACAATAGGCAGCTGCAAGAAAGGAGCCCTGAACTGCCACCATGGTTCTGAAGCGGGTGTTAAATGCCTCCTCCTCTTCCTTCTTATTCCTTTCATTTGGATAATAGATTCTCTTCTACTTTCTTGTCATCTTTTTTAGATTCCACATATTAAGGAAAATATGAGACATTTTCCTTGCTGAGTCTGGCTTATTTGGCTTCACATAATGGTCTCCAGATTGGTCCATTTTCCTGCAAACGACAGAATTTCACTCTTCCTTGTTGCTGAGTAGTACTCCACTGTGTATACACACCATATTTCTCTATCTACTCATCTGCCGATGGGCATCTACACTGGTTCCATATTTTGGCTATGATGAGTTGTGGTGCAATAACAGGTATACAGTTATCCCTGTAGTGTGGTGCCTTCCCATTGCTTCAGGTACACCAAGGAGTGCTACCGCTGGATCAAACGATAGCTCCACTTTTAGCTTTCTGGGGAGCCTCCAACTGATTTTCATAGTGGTTGTATTAATTTACATTTCCTCTAGCAGTGGCGAAGCCTTTTTTCCCCCATATCCTTGACAGCATTTATTGTTCTTCTTTTTTATTCTTCCTGATAACCATACTGACTGTAGTTTGGATTTGCACTTCCCCAAGCGCTAAAATATTGAATATTTTTTCATATACTTATTTACCATTTTATGTACTTTTTTGAGAAGAATCTGTTTAATTCACTTGGCAATTTATTGATTGGATTGTTTTTTTGGTCTTAAGGTTTTTGAATCGGTCACCGTTTGTTGGAAGAGTAGCTAGGAAAGATTTACTTCCATTTTGTTGGCTGTCTCTTTACTCTGTTGCCTCCCTTGCTGTACAGGAACTTTTTCTTTTTAGTATCGGGTATCGAACTCAGGACCTCGAGCTTGTGAGGCAAGTGGTGGCACCACTGAGCTAAATCCCCAGCCCTGTGCAAGAACTTTTTAACTTGGTATAGTCCCATTGGCTGATTCTTGCTGTAGTTTTCTGTACTAAATTCTGCCTGTGCCTATTGCTTCAAGTGTTTCTCCTATATTTTCTAACAGTGTCAAGGGAAAAACAAAAACAAAAAACAGTGTCAAGATTTTAAGTCTCATACTCCATTTTGAACTGAGTTTTTACAGGGCAACAGAGGAATTAGTTTCAACCTTCTACAGATGGATGTTCAGTTTTCCTAGCATTGTTTGTTAAAGAGGTTATCTTTGAACACAAATGTGGCCATCTTTTCCCAAACTGAGGAACGAATTAAGTTTGTACACCAAGGTACCACTGTAATTTGTTGAGATCGGGCGCGTTCAGGGTGGTATGGCCATGTAGACGGTACCACTCTAATTAGAAATTGGGTATTCTGATGTTTCCAGCCTTGCTCTTTTGGCTTAGGACTGCTTCTATTCTGTGTCTTCTGTATTTCTTTATGAATTTTAGAACTGTTTTTTCTACTTCTGTGAAGAATGTCATGGGTATTTTGAAGGGTATGGAGGTGACTCTGTAGGTCCCTTTTGTTCCTACAGCCATTTTGACAATGTTAATTCTGCCGATCCCTGAACATGGGAAGTCATTCTATCTTCTGCTGTGTTCTTCAATTTCTTTTTTCAGTGTTGTGAATTTTCATTGTAGAGGTTTTTCATTTGGCCAGACTGACCCCTAGATATTTTATTTCATTTGACGCTATTGTGAATGGAACTGTTTCCTTAATTTCTTTCTCAGCTAGTCCATTATTGGTATAGAGTAAAGCTACTGATTTTTCATTATAGTATTTCCCGTGTGGTCTAGGTTTGTTCATGAAGTCTTTGCCTACTCCTATGTTCTACCTATTCTCTCTTTCAGGAGATTTAATGTTTTTGTTTCAATATTTAGATCTGTGATCCATTTTGATTTTAGGTTAGTGCATGGTGAAAGATATGGGTCTAGTTTCAATCTTTGGCATGTGGAAAACCAGTTTTTCCAACACCATTTATTAAAGAGGCTATCTTTTTTCCACTGAAGGTGTTTGCCTCCTTTGTCAAAGATAAGGTGACTGAATACGTCTGGAGTTGATTCTGCATCTTCTAGTCTATTTCACTGATCTTCAGGTCTGTTCTTTTGCCAGTACCATGCTGCTGCTTTTATCACAGTAAAAGCTATTGATTTTTAAATGTTGATTTTATACCCTGCTACATTGTTGAATTAGTTTATCAGCTCTGAAACTCTTTAGGGTCTTCTCAGTATAGGCTAGTTGTGGTGAACCTATGGCATGCATGTCACAGCTGGCTGTTTGTTACCACTGAAAGCTTTAAAACGTTTCCGACCACTGGCATAGGATCATATCATCTACAAACATGAATAATTTGACTTTTTCCTTTTCTATTTTAACCTTTTGTTTTCTCTTGCCTAATTGCTCCAGCTATACTTTCAAGAACTATATTGAGTAACAGTGATGAGAGTAGACATCCATGCCTCATTCCTCATTTGAGAAGAAATCCTTCCCCTGGAATACAACCAACTTGATCGTGTTGTATGACCTGTTTTTCTTTCTTTTTGGTACCAGGAATTGAACTCAGGGCCTCGCACTTGCCAGGCAGGCTGTGTGCCACTGAGCTACATTCCCATTCCTGTATGAATTTTTCTTTTGGTACCAGGGATCGAATTTGTATGACATTCTAAAATGTATTGTTAAATTCAGTTCATGAATATTTTATTATGAAGTTTTACATCTATGTTCACAAGGATATTGACCTATGATTTTTTTTTTTTGTTGTGTTCTTGTCTGATTTTGCTATAAGGGTGATGTGAACCTTGTAGATTAAGTTTGAAAGCATTCCTTTCCTTTGTATTTCATGGAATAATTTAAGGAGCATTGGTATTAGTTCTTCTTTACAAGTCTGGTAAAATTCAGCCATGAGCCCATCTGGTCCTGGGCTTTTCCTCGTTGGAAGAACTTTATTCCTGTTTCAATTTCATTGTTTATATTGATCTGTTTAGGTTTTGTATATATTCCCTCCCTCACCCCCTAGTTTTATATATATACATTTTTTGGTACCAGGGATTGAACTCAAGATCCTGTGCTTGTGAGGCAGGCAGCGGCACCACTGAGCTAATTCCCTGGTCCCTTGTAAATATTTTTGGTCTGGTTTTGGTAGATCGTACGTGTCCAGAAATTTATCCATTTCTTTGAGACTGTCCAGTTTATTTAGAATAGAGGTTTTCAAAGTACAGTGGTCCCTAATAATCCTCTGGATTTCTGTGATGTTGTAAAACCCCCTTTTCATCTCTAATTGTATGATCTTGGTCTTTTCTTTCTTTTGGTTAGCTTGGTGAAGGGTTTATTGATCTTGTTTATCTTTTCAAAGAATGAATTCTTTGTTTTATTCATCTTGTATGTTATTCTTTTAGTCTCTATCTCATTAATTTCAGGTCTCATCTTTTTCTTTCCTTTTGTTGCATTTTGTTTTGGTTCTTGTTTTTCTTTTTTTAAAATTTCAGTACCAGGAATCAAACTCAAGACCTTGTGCATGCCAGGCAGGTACAGCACCGAGCTACATCCCTGCCCTGTTATTTTTCTAAGATCTTGACATGCACAGTAAGGTTAAGATCTCTCTGGTTTCTTTTTTTCTTTTTTTCTTTTTTTTTTGAGACAGGGTAACCCTATGTAGTTCAGGCTGACTTGAAACTATGTAGCCTAGGCTGGCCTTTAACTTGTGGTGATCCTCCTACTTCAGCCTCCCATGTACTGGGATTCCAGGTATGCACCACCATCTGGCTCTCTGTTTTTTGGGGGTTTTTTTTGGTACTGGGGATCCATCTTGGGTCCTTGCGCTTGCGAGGCAGGTGGCATAACCACTGAACTAAATCCCCAGCCCTTTCTGGTCTTTTTGATGTAGACAACTTATAGTTATAAAATTCCCTCTTAGAAATGCCTTGCTTTACCCCAAGATTGTGGTATATTGTATTTCCATTTCAATTTGATTCTAGAAAATGTTTAATTTCCTCCGTGATTTCTTCAACAACACACCAAGCATTCAAATGAACTGCTCAATCTCCATGTGTTTGTATAGTTTCTGTGGTTTCCCTTGCTGTTGATTCTTTTTTCATTTCATTATGATCTAATAAGATGTAAGAAATTATTTTTTTGGTATTTGTTAAGGCTTGCTTTATGGCCTAAAATACATGTTTTGAATAATGCTCCATGAATTGCTGAGAAGAATGTGTATTCTATAGTTGTTGGATGGAATGTTCTATAGACAACCGTTAAATTCTTTTGATCTATGGTGTAGTTTAACTGATGTTTCTTTGTTCATTTTTTGTCTGGATGACCTATTTATGGGTAATAATGGAATATTAAAGTCATGTACTACTATTGTAATGGGATCTATGTGGCCCTTTACATTGAATAGTGTTTGCTTTATAAAATTGGACACACTGATCTTAGGTGCATAAATATTTACAATTGTGGCATCTTCTTGGTGGATCATTCCTTTTTCCAATATGTAGTGGTTGCCTTTCTCTTGTCTAATTCTGTTTTGAAGTTTGCTTTGTCACATGAGTTTAGCTTCTCCTGCTTGCTTTGAGGTTCTGTTTGCATGGATTATTGTTTTCCATCCTTTCACTTTTAATCTATGTATGTCTTTGCTAGTGAGGTGCATTTCTTGTAAGCAACAGTAAGTTGGGTCTTGTTATTTTTTGGAAACTTTTTTTGGGTACTGGAGATCAAACTCAGGACTTTGTGCTTGCCATGTAGACTTGGTGCCACTGAGCTAAATCCCCAGGGGGTCTTGTTATTTTAATCCAATTTGTCAGTCTGTCTTTTAATTGGAGAATTAAGACTATTTATATTCAAGTTACTATAAAAAAGTATGTACTAATTCCTGTAATTTTGTTAATTTTCTAATGTTTGATTTTTTCCCTAATACTCACTAATTTATTTATTCTTCTGCAGCTAGGATTCCTTTTAAGTATCTTTTGCAATGCTGGCTTAGTGGTCATGAATTTCTTTTGTTTATGCATATCTTGGAAGGTTTCTACTTCTCTTTCAATTTTTAATGATAGCTTTGCTTAATAGGGTAATCTAGATCATCATTTATTTTCCTTCAGGGCTTGAAATACATCTTCCGAAGGCCTCTTAACCTTTAGGGTTTCTGCAGGGAAGTCTGAAGTTAAACTGGTGGGTTTACCTGTATAAACAACTTGGAGTTTCTCCCTTATCGCTTTCAATATTCTTTCCTTGCTGTATAATGTGGCATATGTTAAATTTTCTTTAAAAATTTGTGTATAGGGCCAGGGATTTAGCTCAGTGGTTCTGCCACCTGCCTTGCAAACGTGAGGACCTGAGTTCTATCCCTGGTACAAAAAAAAAAAAAAAAAATTGTGTATGCTTTATTTTATCAAATGCTAAACAAGTTAGAACAGAGAGGGATCTCAGTGTTCAGAGGGAGGATGACATACTCCACTGCATATGGAAGTACTGAAGGTCACAGAACATCAACCTTGGTGATATGAAACTTAACAATCCTTTAGACCCTTAACTTAGAAACCATCACAGTTCTTATCCTTTAGTTCTCACCCTTCAATTGATCACTGAATATTTTCTGAGAACCTGCTCGATGGAAGGTACCATCTTAGGTAGAGAAGGAACACAAGAGCTTTAAACACAACCTTAGCCATCTAGCCTTAGCCATCACAGTATCACCTGAAGAGTTTTTTGGACTTATTGTCTTGGTTACACACTGAGGAGTGGAACTTCTGGGTCATATGGTTAGCTTTAGCAGAAATTGGCAAGAACTTTTCTCAAGTCCTGGGTCAACTTAAACACCTCTGAGTAATGCATTACTTTCAGCTAAGGATATCCTTGTCAGCACTTGCTACTCCCTCTTTACTGTTGTTGCTGCTGGGGACTGAACCCAGGGTGTCATTCTGAACTCTATACCTTGCCCCCACTTTTTATTAAACTTAATCATTCTTTTCTTTTTTTCACTTTCTTCCCTTTATTTATTTATTTATTTATTTATTTATTTATTGAGACAGGGTCTCACTACATATATATTTTTTGGGGGGGTACTGGGTAAAAAAAAAAAAAAAAAAATTGTGTATGCTTTATTTTATCAAATGCTAAACAAGTTAGAACAGAGAGGGATCTCAGTGTTCAGAGGGAGGATGACATACTCCACTGCATATGGAAGTACTGAAGGTCACAGAACATCAACCTTGGTGATATGAAACTTAACAATCCTTTAGACCCTTAACTTAGAAACCATCACAGTTCTTATCCTTTAGTTCTCACCCTTCAATTGATCACTGAATATTTTCTGAGAACCTGCTCGATGGAAGGTACCATCTTAGGTAGAGAAGGAACACAAGAGCTTTAAACACAACCTTAGCCATCTAGCCTTAGCCATCACAGTATCACCTGAAGAGTTTTTTGGACTTATTGTCTTGGTTACACACTGAGGAGTGGAACTTCTGGGTCATATGGTTAGCTTTAGCAGAAATTGGCAAGAACTTTTCTCAAGTCCTGGGTCAACTTAAACACCTCTGAGTAATGCATTACTTTCAGCTAAGGATATCCTTGTCAGCACTTGCTACTCCCTCTTTACTGTTGTTGCTGCTGGGGACTGAACCCAGGGTGTCATTCTGAACTCTATACCTTGCCCCCACTTTTTATTAAACTTAATCATTCTTTTCTTTTTTTCACTTTCTTCCCTTTATTTATTTATTTATTTATTGAGACAGGGTCTCACTACATATATATTTTTTTGGGGGGTACTGGGGATTGAACTCGGGTCCTTGTGCTTGCAAGGCAGGCCACCGAACTGCTGAGCTAAACCCCCGGCCCCTTCTCACTACATATGTGAGACTGACCTGGAACTCATTATATAGCCCAGGCTGGTCTGGAACTCAGTAATCCTCCTGCCTCAGCCTCCCGAGTGCTGGGATTACAGGCGTGCACCACCATGCCCAGCTAGTCATTCTATTCTTAAGTACATACTCAAAAAGAAATGTGAACAAATGTCCGAAAAAGTTGTATAAGAATGTTCTTATCAGGTCAGGTGTATTGGTACATACCTATAATCCTAGCTACTCAGGAGGCTAAGGGAGGAAGACTGCTAGTTCAGTGCCAGCACGGGCAACTTGGCAAGACCCTGCCTCAAAATTTAAAGAGGGCTAAGGGTACAGTTCAGTGTTCCCTGGGTTTAATCCACAGTACCACAAAACACACATACATACATTCACTCACAAGAAAAAGAAAGAAAAAAGTTGCTTTTTATCAACTTTAGTCAAAATATCTCACAACTAGAACAACCCACATAGCCATTAACAGGAGAACACATAAATTATGATATGCTCCTACAGTGGAACACTACACAGCAATAACAAGAGTCAAATGTTAAATACAGTAGCATTCACAAATCTCAAAACATTATGTCAAGTGAGAAAAACACAATACTCAAAAAGTAAACCCCCATGAGTGAATTTGTATAAAGTTCAAGGGCAGAAAAAATTCACCCATTTGAGAAAGGCTGTTACAACAATTGCACAGGTAAGGTTGTGGGAGGGTGTTGACTGGGCAGTGGCAACACTTGTATAAACATAGGTGATTACTCACTAAACTGAATCTTTTAGGTTAGTGGCGGCGGACCTTTTACACACATGTCACAGCTGTATGTTTGTTATCCCTCAAAGCTCTAAAAGGTTTGCTGTCTTAGGGGGATACACTTTATAAATATATGCTATATGTCAATACAAAGAATTTTCTAACAGGAAGTACACACAATAGGCCAACAATGACACTGACTATGGAAGGTGCTGTTTGAATATGGACACAGTGCTGCTCTGGCTGGGGGTCAGGGTAGATGTTCCTGACTGGGAGAGCCAGTCTTTAGTGCTCAGGTTTCTAAGGCGGGGCTGACTTCTGGGGCAAGGTGAAGGTATACATTGAGCACCATCAAAAGCAGCAGGCTTCTTCTTCGTTCAAAACCTCTGGGCATGCCACCTTCCCAGCCCATACCTCCCACCCTGCAGCAGAAGCTCAGACTGGTGGCTCACCCAGACAGAGAGCGAGCGGTCCTTGCTGCCAACAGCACAGCAGCAGTATGGGCAGCTGGGCTTTGTAGAACTCCCATTCTTCTGCTTCTTTTTGAATATTTTTGGGTTGAATTTCTAAAGCCAAATAATAAATGCTAAAGTAAGTATTCAAGCATCAAGTACACAGCCCATGCCCAAGCATCAGAAACACACCAAAGTCCCAGCCCACCGATGGAAGTCCTTCAAAGAGCTTGAGCCCATGTTATTGGGGTATATTATTTCATTTTTATAACTACCCAAGGAAGTACTTTGCTGATGATGCAAAGGAGGTTCAGGGAGGTCTAAAAACATACCACGTCACTAAATGAATAAGCAGTGGAATGACAATTTGAAGTGAGCACTACCAACAGATCCATTTCTGGAGACAACAGCTATGTAGTAGAGGGGATGGGAGTTATTGGAACTCGCCTTCTCAAGTCTTCCTGGCCCGGGAGGGTCAACAATAACTGGACCTGGTGAAAAGCTGAGCCTGCAAAGGAACTTCAGGGACCAAGACCTATGCATTTTCCATTTCCTAAGCAAGTCCAAAGGGACCAGAAGGAGAGAAATAACACACTTAATTCCCTTTTTTTCTGTACCAGGGATCGAACTCAAGACCTTGAGCTTGCAAGGCAGGTGGCGGCACCACTGAGCTAAATCCCTGGCCCCCTGTAACACATTTAATTCCTTTTTCCCTCACTGTATATATTGTTCACAGCCATACTTATTTACCAGAAATCTGCACAGCCCAAGAGTCCCTCATAACTCACTGGGCCAGGGACAATGGCTATGTTCTTGACTGGCTGCTCAATCAGGCAAATGATCACCTGTGTGTAGCCTGGCTACTGCTTTTGGAAAGGCTGGGAACACACACCAAGTTCTCTGCTAACTTCCTGGACTGAGAGGCTCTGGGAAGCAGTGGGAGCTCTTAGAATCCGAAGCTAGGATATCTAAGGGCAGATGAATGGTAGCTTCTGGAGGGTTTTTACTCGAGTATAGCTAGGAACCGATAATGGTACACAGTGACTGGAAAACATGGAACACAGCAGAATAAACACTAAGCTTGAGTCTCTACAACCACCAGTAGGTTGTAGGGCCTTCCCTTGAGGCAGGAGTCATTTTCTCATAGAGCAGTTGCTCTTAAAGTTGCCATAAGGCTCATATTTGAGGGATGGGGATTTAGCTCAGTGGTTCCGCTGCCTGCTTCTCAAGTGCAAGGTCCCGAGTTCAATCCCCAGGACTGAAATAAACAAACAAACAAAAAACCCAAAATATGCTATGAGGCTCATATTTGAGAAAAACATAGCAGTGCTTGCTAACTATGAAATAAAGATTTTCAAAAATTTTAGCAAAAGACCCTAGTTTCAAACAAAATCCAATATGGACAACAACACAAAAAACTTAAGGAAGCAATATTTATTTCTATGAAATTTCCATTTTAAGGTATAATACATGATACTTATTTTCAGGCAATGATGAGTTCAATTTGATCTGGGTCTTGGATGAGCTTTTACTTTCATCAGCATGAACCTGCCAATCTATTTACAGTAAGTCCTCGACTTACAAATGAGTTTTGTTCCGAGAGAATGTCTGTAAGTCAGACATTCTGACAAAGTGAGTCTTATATAGCACACCTGTTAAAGTTCAAAATTTGAGTGTTTGTAAATTTAATTGGTTGTCCAGTGGGGAGAAAATCCTGTCACAGGTTATTAGCAACTACTTAACAGTTTGTCTAGGGCATTCTCAGAACACTCCTCAATTAGTCATCAGGAATGGCACATATTCTCTCAAGTCTGAAAGATCAGCACTCTGGCCCTCTTTACCCTTCAGACAAAAATAGGATGAACACGCCAGTGACCCCCAGCATAGACTGGCAACTCTACCACTGCCAAATATGGGGACAAGCATGATGCTTCAGGGGTACTCAGAATTGCACTGTGTTCACTGGAGCCAGCAAGTAAGCATGGTACTGGAGTATCCGTGAACAGACCTAAACATGTAGAAGGCTAGTGTGGAGCTATAATGTTCCTGACAAAGATGGATCTGGGTGATGGTCACCATTTACACATTAAGTGTTTACAATGAAATGAACACCACCATGTGCTACCTCTGGGAGCCCATCACTGCAGTTTCCCATGAAAGTGACTCAACCTTGGTGAGGATCCCTGGAGAGTTTGGCACTCCCCAGACTCTAAGGGCACATGTAGGCTACTGCAGCAGGCCACTCAGGATGGTACTGACAGCTGCCAGGACTTCCAGAGCCCAGGCATACTCACCACAACAGTCACAGCTTTCCGGTGCCCCACGAAGTCCATGTTAGTTTTCCATCCTTCCCGTTCAATGATCTGGGCAGTGGGGCCAGAGTTGTTCATGGCATGGGCAGATACCAAGTAATGCCCATCAGGTGACCAGCTGAGCCGCAGCACATGGGTTGTCCCACCACACTGAAAGAAATATTTGCATTTGAAAAGAGCTCAAGGCCAACTATGTGACCAAAGCTGTCCTCCAGGATAAAGCTGAACTGTGATTTATAAACATGTTATGATGGAGCATGCATCTCAAGCTTCTGGCTGTACTTAATGCTGTCACTCCAATCTCTCCAGATAGCACAATGAAAAGGGGATTTTAGGGGCTGGGGATTTGGCTCAGTGGTGCCTCCCCTGTATCCCAAAAGCAAGGTCCTGAGATCGATCCCCGGTACAAAAGGGGCTTTCGGTCAAATGAATATGGGATCTCTGGCATCCTCTACTTCCCCATAGGACTAAAGCAAAAACAATAGCATGGAACTATATTCCCCAAGAAGATCTGTAGGAAGGCCAACTTTTGAACCAGCAAGTTGGCATGAGCCAAATCTTTCTGGTCACTGAGCTGCTGCTACTGTATATAGCACCTGTTGACGTCAGTATCAGTGCACAGAGAGCATCCTAAAGAAATTCTATAAAAGCCAGGTGTGGTTGTGCATGCCTGTATTCCTAGACCTTGGGAAGCTGCGACAGAAAGATGACCTTGAGTTTGAGGCTAACTTGGGCTACATAGTAAGTACAAGGCCAGCCTGAGCCAGCCCTAAAAGACTTAGGGGTTAAGATCTTGAACAGAAAAGGACAGGACAAAGCAGAGCATAGATACAGTGATATCACCTGCCTCAGACCCACAGGCAGGATGGCCCCCCAGCCAAGACTGCAAAGTACTACCAGTTCCCACTGCTATTCAAGATTCTCCTGTAGTTGTCTCAGGAGCTCAGCTCTTGGGAACCGCAATTGGCTGACAGAGCCCCAAGGAACTCCAGAAGGTATGAGGGTCACATTACCTGCACTAGGCAGCTATAGGTAAGGAGAGCAGGACTAAGTAAGACTCAGTTCATGAGATTAGTTTGGGGGAGAACTGAGTACACAATTTGTCATTTTCTTCGTGTAGCCATCCCTGACCAGTGGGCATCACACTTAAAGAGCATGTAAATGTCTTTCCCACAGAGATTCCATCTCAATCCACCTTTATTTCTCTGTATCCAGTACTGTTTCACAGACAGTAGGCCCTTAAAATGAATATCTAATGAATAAAAACGATGTATAGTTGTTTCTACATAAAATCAACTAAAATAAAGGAATAGATAGTAAAAATACTACAAAAACCACTCTGATCTATACCTTTTCTACAAACTATACTATTAACTCCACCCATGAAAAAGTCAGCTGTCCTGCAGAACAGACATCAATAAGCAAAGAGACAGGAACTGCCAGGAACATACAAGAGAGTCTTTGAAAGAAAAAGAAAAAAACAGTGTCTCCTCCATGTTCCTCTCCTGCAACCCAACAAACTGCTCAATAGGGCAGTTCAAGGTAAATTTCCCCTAAGGAATGACTACATCCATATCTATGGCATGAGCTAGGGGACAAAATCCTATAGAGACAGCCCTAAAGTTCTCTTCAGCTTTAAAAACCTATGAATTTTCCATTTCAAAGTTGGTATTGAACACTTTCTCGGAAAGCAACATTTTTACCTTAGGGCCAAAGTGAGCACTCCAGAGAACAATGACTGGCCTTACTCAGGCTCCCAGGCTCTGCTTTCACCCAGGTGGTCTAAACCATAGAACGGAGGTTAGGCAGGGACTGGGGTCAAGCTCTAGGCTGTCTCAGTTACCTCATCAAAAGGCTTGGTGATGCTGGTCTCTAACTGCCAGTCCAGTGTTCTCCACACCTTCAGGCTGCGGTCGTCAGCTTGAGAGGCAATATATTTACCAACAGGGTCCCAAGTCAACCCCTTCACCAAACCAGAATGACCTCTCAGAGTTGCAAGAATTTCTATGAAAAAAACAAATCAAAACAAACACAACCCAAGAATTTTAGACAGACATTACTTAGGAGGAAAACACAATGACTACAGAAATATGAGTGGCATCTGACCATGGAACAGAAATCTAAGAAAGGGGACTTAAACAGTCCAACTTAGCCATCTCCTATACCTGGGAACAAGCAAAAGAGGTCCTTCATTTGAACTCCATCAAAACAAAAGCAACACAAAGAAATGACTGCATCAAGACGACAGGCGCAGGTAGATTTCCTTTTAGCCACAGCTAACATTTGAGGGGTTATACATGTCCCCACAGGAACAGGAAACAAGGGGGCCATTGCTGCCAATACTGGCCCTGCATCTTATGGGGTTGCCTGTGGCTGCTTTTCATGGACTGAAGCCTGCCAACCTGGGCTGTGACTTGAGCACTTCTGATACGAGCCACCCTGGCAGGCCTACCTAGTATCTTAGGGCAATGGTACTTGGTAGCACGTCATTGGAAGTCAGTACTGAAGACACATATGTGCACAAGGTCACCTCCTACAGATTGGTAATATAAACGCTATACTGGTTCCCTGCCTCTGCTGTGGCCAGCCTGAGTGTCCCCACAAATGCTGGCGGTAACTTTAAAAGAAATTGAAATGACTTGACTCTAAGACCATAAGATGTGGCATTTCAGCCCAGAGGAAAACATACTCCAGATAATGAGTGGGAATGAGAAAATAGCAGGTTTTGCCATCTCTCATAGTTTTAAATGCAATGAATAAAGAAAGTTAATATTTTGCAAAACTGGATTTACGTTAGCCTTCATTGGGTCAAAGACTTTACAGAGTAGAAGGCAACTGAGCTGAGGCCAGAGCTCAGTGTTGAGAGATGTAAAAGAGCATGCGTGTGAATGTTAGAGTCCTCAATGTCATGTCCCAAATTACCTTGTGATCTATGGCACACTCATGACAGCACTCAGCTACTCTTTTTCTTTAGCACAGACCTCTTTTAAATCTTAAACAAATATAATTGAAAAAAAAAAAAAAACACACCAAAAAAACCCCTAGGTTCCTGGCAAGAAACACAAATCCAGGCCAGGGGTTTAGCTGAGTGGCACACTGCCTGTCTGCCAAGTGCAAGGTCCTGAGTTCAATCTCTGGTACAAAAAAGAAAAAACAAACAAAAAACAAAAAGGCACACAAATCCTGCGCCACTGTGATATACTTGCTGCCATTAAGAAAAAGGAGATAGAAAGCCCACTCTCCCACACTCCATCCTGCTCACGGGCACTGACAAGCAGCACTGTTGGCAATGGCCGCTATCTGCTATCAATCAGCAGGGAAGACCTCAGACCTGGGAACTTCACGGCGTTCCAGATGACGACAGTGTTATCCACGCTGCATGAGGCTAGCCAGGCATCATGGGGAGACCATGCTACATCCATTACATCTAGAAGAAAGCAGGGGACTTGTGGTGAGTTCCCTCCACCCAGTACCCCAGTACTGGGGATTGAACCCAGGGCTTTCACACTGGGCTACATCCCCAGATCTCAAAATTTTTTTTGGAGACTAGATCTCACTAAATTACTAAGTTGACTGGGCTGGGCTCATACTTCAGACCCCCCTGTCTCAGCCTACCAAAGTTCTGGGGTTATAGGCACGTGTCATCATGGCCCAGCATCACATCTATGTTCTAGAACCACAACCTGACACTTCTTGGGAGTGTGATCTTAGGTTTGTTCCTCAATTTGGAAACATGCTTCTCCAGTCCTTCTGGGCATTAAGATGAAATCCAATAGGGAAAAAACCAGAACATCAAGAGCCGCTAACTATCTGAACAAAGTTAGGCCTCGCCCCTGATCATGACCTGGATCTCACCTCCAACATGCTGTTGGGGAGTGACCACTCCTTATGTAGTCCCAGACAGAATTAACCATCACAGTATCACTTACTTCTTTGTGATTCAGTTTCCTCATCTATTAAGAGTGGACTAAAAACCGAAACCCTACCTTCACAGGGTTATTATAAGGATTAAATATGAGAAATTACCACTGAACAGTGCCAGGTACACACCAAAGATCATCAAAGGTCAGCTGTGATATGAGTATGGTGGTGTACACCTGTAATCCCTGAACTGTGGGTGGTTGAGGCACAAGCACCATAAGTTTGAACCCAGCCTGGGCAATTTAGCAACTTAGTGAGACCCTGTCTCAAAATAAAATAAAAAGGGATGAAGATGTAGCTTAGTTTGAAGGCCCTGGTTTCAATTCCCAGCCTTGAGAGGAAATGAGTTGTCAGCAATGGGGACTATAACTTTTACCCTTTGGATTAATAGACTGAGCATCTTTTTATAAGTTATAATTGTACTTCATTATTAGCGACAGTGAAGCTTCTTCATGGTTTATTATCTACAGTAGTTTTGGGGCTGAATTTCCTCACAACTTGTGACTCATGGGAGGTTTTTCTGTGTACTGCACGTAAGAAACATGAATGCGGCATTTATGAAAATGAATCAAACAACTACCTTTTCTAGAAGCTTAGAGCCCCACAGCGGCAGGCATGTAAACATGTAGTACCTAAGCCCTAGAGCAGAGATGTGATCAGATAGGAACTCAAGGAGATGTGATTTTCTTAGTGATTTCCAGAGACTACTTAGAATACAAACATTAGCTGCAAGCCTCATTTTCCTTATAAGTTTTATATAGAAAACTCAGTAGTCTTCTTTGTGATTTTTTCTGTTGCCTATTAACCTTGAAAAATGTTCTCTCTAAACTGATCATGGTGGTGCATACCTGTAATCCCAGCACTGAGAGAGGCTGAGGCAGTAGAATCACAAGTTCAAGTCCTACCAGGGCAACTTTGTGAGGTCTTGCTTCAAAATAAAAGGAAAAAAATTTAAAGGCTGGAGATTGCTTGGGATTTAGCTCAGTCGTGCTGTGTCTGCCTCGCAAGTGCAAGGTCCTGAGTTTGATCCCTGGTACCAAAAAAAAAAAAAAAAAAAAAAA